GTGAATAATTGCACTGGTGAAGAAGCCAGGTTACAATCAGGCTGCAAGTGCAGCTCCCGTTCCGGCACACCAAACTTGATCAGAAAGCGCAAAGTCCACTGTAACTGTATGATTAATAACACTTCATATGTCGTGTTAAATGGTGTTAAACTCAAAGCCATGCGTCCTAAACTCATGAATCCTCTGAATTATTTGGCTTGGGCTTCGGATGGGGCTTCGACGCTTGAGGCTTGGAGCCTTGGGTTTGTTGCGCAAGGCTTGCTGTTTGAGAGCCTGGGCCTTTGCGTTTCTCTCCCCGTGCCCGTAGACTCCAAGCGAAAACTTTGAACACAAAATCTCAAGCAGTAGAGGCCTCGGGTGCTGGCCAGTCCTTGGAGCCATGTGTAGGGTTTCCTGGGCGCAGGTTTAGGCTTCTACGGTGCGGGTTGAGGATTAGTTTTAGGGGTTCTGTGGTTCTGCTGTTTCAGTGGCTTGGGGTTGGTGGTTTAGCATAGCGGGAGAAGGAAAGGCAACATGACGTTACACACCCGGCATCCTTGGCAGTCGCCGTCTTTGTAGCCCTAGTGAGGGGGAGCCGGCGCGAGTAATTCTATACTTGGAGGGTCGGGGGACTTAGTAGCTAAGTAGCTATACTAGAGACCTATAAGTATCACAGCTCCAATGAAGGTCCCTTTTAGGCTACCTACAGAGTATACTTCTAACTACTATAGACTTAGAAGTATCAAAACCCCACTTAAGGAAACCTGTCAGTCTACTTACTACCTAGCCCCGACCCCCCGAGTAGACCTCGGGATGCTGTACCCGAAGCGCCGACAGCCCAAACCCTAAACTTTGGGGTTTAGGGTTTTAGGGTTTGGAGGTTTAGGGTCTATGGGTTTATAGGTTCATGGGTTTATAGGGTTTAGGGCTTAGGGTCGAGGGTTTAGGGTTTAGGGGTTACAGTTTACATAAACCGTCAACTCGAAAACCGGGCGCTGGACCCGAAAAGGCAGGGCACCCGACAAACCTAAGGCCTTAACCGAAATCTCCCACACCCTGCCGCTTGTTACTGATAGAAAAATGGGTTTGGGGCTAGTACATTACGCAATGCTTACTTATTTTTGTATTTCTGGAACTATATAGGTATGCTTCTATCAGGAATTTACCAAAGCATGCTATGTTTAACTTAATGAACATGCAGGCATACTACTCTTCCATATGGGGGTTTCAGAAAATGGGGGACCCTCATATAGTACCTTGAATAATAGGATCCTTATGATGAGGACCCTAAAATAAGGTACCCTTGTTTTCGGAAGCTCCCATATTCCGGCCCATTCAATCGCACTTTAGAGGCGATCGGAGTCCTCGCAGCCCCATCGCTTGATGCACAAGCAGAAGGTACCGGCTCGTTCTCTGCACAAAGGGCGTATGGTTTGTGGCTTTAGCGTTTTAGTTTCAGGGTTTAGGGGTTAGCGTTCAGGTCTTTGTTCTGAGTTTGCATTTCAGGAACTGGCCCCTCGCTTTTTGTGCTGGTGGGCTTGAGAAGTTATCAGTGAAGGCCCTAAAGTCTAAAGGCCCTCTGATAAATCCCAGTACCCTAAACCAAAAACCCAAAACCCAAAACCCAAGCATCGGTGTTGCGGTCCGGCCGATGCTGCCAAACCTACACCGTAGGAGTCCGTAGGAGCATCAGAAGAGGGTTGGCATGATCTGATGGGAGCTTCAATAGCCTAATATAGAAGCCTAAATAATTACGTTGATATATTATTCCTTAGGGTTCCTGATGATGGTTAGTTATACTATAAGGCACCCCAAAACCCTATTCTAAGTATTAAGGACCCTATAGTAGGCTCCCATGTAGTTTTTATGGAAGCCTCCTCTCCCCCGAAAAGAAGTCCTTGCAGTGCCCTGAAACGTAAGCCCGCGGAGTAAAGCCTTTGGGCTTCCTGGTGAGACCCTGGTTTAGGGTTCAGGGTTTAG